AATTCCTTCGCCTACCGTTCGGCCTAAAAAACGCTCCAGCCACATTTCAAAGATGTGTAGATGACATTCTGAGACCATACATTGGAAAATGCGCATATGTCTATATCGATGATGTCTTAATTTACTCTACTGACCAGAGCAACACATTAAGGATATCACAAATATTGTACAGTCGCTACATACAGCTAATATGAAGATCTCCAAGGAAAATTCAATTTTTTTTCAAACTAAAACCGAATTTCTGGGACACATAATAAATAACGGAAGGATTACAGTAGACCCAGGGAAAATAGATGCTTTAGATAGGTATAAAACACCGGAGACAATAAAAGAATTACGCTCATTTTTAGGATTAGCTTCCTACTATAGAAAATTTGTGAAGAACTTCGCACATATATGCAAGCCATTAACGATTTACATAAAGGGAGAAAACGGTAGTATATCGAAAAATAAAAGCAAAAATGTGAAAATTAAATTAGACGAACAGGCACTCAAGGCACTTGAAGAAATAAAAGAAAAGGTAGAGCTATATCAGCCAGACTTTTGAATAGGGATTCGATCTAACCACAGACGCCAGTAACCACGCAATAGGAGAAGTACTGAGTCAGGGTAGAAATCCAATTTCGTTTATATCAAGAACATTGACAACCACAGAACAAAACTATTCCACAAATGAAAAGGAAATGTTAGCCATAATTTGGGCACTACAGAAACTAAGAAATTACCTGTATGGAATAGCGGACCTGACAATTTACACATATCACCAGTCACTTATATTTTCGATATCAGAAAAATATTATCCAAACACTAAACTCAAAAGATGGAAAAACTTAATAGAGGAATATGGTGCTAAATTAAAATACAAACCTGGACACGAGAACGTGGTCGCAGACGCACTATCTAGATAAGTAAATACGCTGTCAGATACATCAATCCACTCCGCAGAGTCTTCAGCACTCAGATGCATTAAAATGATTGCAAAACCCTTAAATTTTTTCCGTACACAAGTTGAATTAATACCGTCAGAAAGGAACGAGAAAACTGCATCAACTATATTCCCTCGGTACGAACGGTTTAAAGTAAAATTTAACACCGAGGAATACTTAATAGAAACGCTGAAGCAAGTAATGAAACCAAAAATTGTAACAGCCTTTCACATAGACTTGGAAACATGGCATAAGTTGAAAGAGAAGATAACAAATATATTTTCTACATATTTCAAAGTATTCACGCAAATTAAGTTAAAAGACATAACCGAAATAATCGACAGAGAGAATATACTAGAATTCACACATAAAAGAGCGCATAGAAACGCATTAAACAACTATAAGGGAATACTAGAAACATGTTATTGGCCAACACTAAAAAAAGATACGGAGAAAGTAGCAAGAAATTGCACCAACTGTACTGAAAGTAAATACGAGAGAAATCCAGTCAAGCAACTATTAGGCAAAACACCAACACCAAATACACCCGGAACATCTATACAAGCAGACATATTTTATATTAACAGCAGCAACTTCCTGCATAGACAGACATACGAAATACGCATACTTTCGCAAGCTCGACAGTAAACGGCATTTCCACGAAATATTTGAAGAGGTAGTATGCCAAGTATTCCCGAAATGCACCGAAGTAATGACAGATAACGAGAGTATATTCGTAGGTATAAGCACAATAGCGATGCTTAACGAACTACACGTTAAGCATACAAAGACCGCGAACAATCATTCGACATCGAATGCACAAGTTGAACGTTTGCACTCCACAATTCTAGAAATTGCGAGAACTTTAGCCGAAGATAAAAAAACAACAACAGAGGAACAAATATTTCCTGCAATAAAAGAATATAATGAAACAATACATTCAGTGACCAAAAGGAAACCAATAGACTTATTGTTTAACAAGAATACAGATGAAACCGTGAAGGAAACCATCGAAGACAGTCAACAGCGAATGCTAGAAAATCACAACAGGAAAAGGATAATAAAGGAATATACACCAGGGCAAACAATTTACGAAAAAACAAGTCGACGCGAAAAATATAACAAAAGGTATATAAAACATGTTGTGAAAGAAAATAAAGAAAATACAGTGATCAGTGATCACAACAAAAAATAAAGTCATACATAAAGATAATATTATAAATGTACCGAATAATCATAATGACGCTCCTGTTAAAGGAAGCACTCGCGATACAAATAACTAACGTAAAGGACAAAAAATATTTATTACCAGAATCATATCCTACGTACACTTACGACAAATCAGACTATTTATTTCATATGGTAAATTTAACAGAAATATTAAAACATTACGATGCATTATGCGATTCGGTTCAAGGAAACAAAGGTTTAGCTAAAGAAACGGCTATAATAAACAGAATAAATGTATTAAAAAATCAGTTATTAATCAGAAGGAAACCTAGGAGTATACATTTTTTAGGCTCAATACTTAGCTTTGTTACCGGAGTACGAGACCATTATGATGTTATTGAAATTAAAGAAAGAATAAATGGCATAGTAGAAAACAATGATAGACAAATATTGATTAATACTCACTTTGAGAAACTGTTGGAAGCCTTCGATTACAAAACTATTAATCAACATACAGTGTTAGAAGAAATTCATAAAGAATTAGGAGATTTAATGTTAACTATAAACTTTGCAAAGAATAAAAATTTCTACTCTGCATCAATAAATTGAGAGGATATCGAAAAAATAATTAAACCGAAGGATAAGATATACCCGTAATAAATTTAATGGAATACTGAGATATTCATGTATGTAGAATTAGAGATACCTTTATTGTAGTATATAAATATCCAATAATCAAAGAAAAATGTGAAACTTACGAAATTACCCCAATATCATAT